TATGCTTTGGGGATGGAGTTGGCGGATCAGTTCCTGGCTTCCTCTATGCTTTGGGGATGGAGTTGGCGGATCAGTTCCTGGCTTCCTCTATGCTTTGGGGATGGAGTTGGCGGATCAGTTCCTGGCTTCCTCTATGCTTTGGGGATGGAGTTGGCGGATCAGTTCCTGGCTTCCTCTATGCTTTGGGGATGGAGTTGGCGGATCAGTTCCTGGCTTCCTCTATGCTTTGGGGATGGAGTTGGCGGATCAGTTCCTGGCTTCCTCTATGCTTTGGGGATGGAGTTGGCGGATCAGTTCCTGGCTTCCTCTATGCTTTGGGGATGGAGTTGGCGGATCAGTTCCTGGCTTCCTCTATGCTTTGGGGATGGAGTTGGCGGATCAGTTCCTGGCTTCCTCTATGCTTTGGGGATGGAGTTGGCGGATCAGTTCCTGGCTTCCTCTATGCTTTGGGGATGGAGTTGGCGGATCAGTTCCTGGCTTCCTCTATGCTTTGGGGATGGAGTTGGCGGATCAGTTCCTGGCTTCCTCTATGCTTTGGGGATGGAGTTGGCGGATCAGTTCCTGGCTTCCTCTATGCTTTGGGGATGGAGTTGGCGGATCAGTTCCTGGCTTCCTCTATGCTTTGGGGATGGAGTTGGCGGATCAGTTCCTGGCTTCCTCTATGCTTTGGGGATGGAGTTGGCGGATCAGTTCCTGGCTTCCTCTATGCTTTGGGGATGGAGTTGGCGGATCAGTTCCTGGCTTCCTCTATGCTTTGGGGATGGAGTTGGCGGATCAGTTCCTGGCTTCCTCTATGCTTTGGGGATGGAGTTGGCGGATCAGTTCCTGGCTTCCTCTATGCTTTGGGGATGGAGTTGGCGGATCAGTTCCTGGCTTCCTCTATGCTTTGGGGATGGAGTTGGCGGATCAGTTCCTGGCTTCCTCTATGCTTTGGGGATGGAGTTGGCGGATCAGTTCCTGGCTTCCTCTATGCTTTGGGGATGGAGTTGGCGGATCAGTTCCTGGCTTCCTCTATGCTTTGGGGATGGAGTTGGCGGATCAGTTCCTGGCTTCCTCTATGCTTTGGGGATGGAGTTGGCGGATCAGTTCCTGGCTTCCTCTATGCTTTGGGGATGGAGTTGGCGGATCAGTTCCTGGCTTCCTCTATGCTTTGGGGATGGAGTTGGCGGATCAGTTCCTGGCTTCCTCTATGCTTTGGGGATGGAGTTGGCGGATCAGTTCCTGGCTTCCTCTATGCTTTGGGGATGGAGTTGGCGGATCAGTTCCTGGCTTCCTCTATGCTTTGGGGATGGAGTTGGCGGATCAGTTCCTGGCTTCCTCTATGCTTTGGGGATGGAGTTGGCGGATCAGTTCCTGGCTTCCTCTATGCTTTGGGGATGGAGTTGGCGGATCAGTTCCTGGCTTCCTCTATGCTTTGGGGATGGAGTTGGCGGATCAGTTCCTGGCTTCCTCTATGCTTTGGGGATGGAGTTGGCGGATCAGTTCCTGGCTTCCTCTATGCTTTGGGGATGGAGTTGGCGGATCAGTTCCTGGCTTCCTCTATGCTTTGGGGATGGAGTTGGCGGATCAGTTCCTGGCTTCCTCTATGCTTTGGGGATGGAGTTGGCGGATCAGTTCCTGGCTTCCTCTATGCTTTGGGGATGGAGTTGGCGGATCAGTTCCTGGCTTCCTCTATGCTTTGGGGATGGAGTTGGCGGATCAGTTCCTGGCTTCCTCTATGCTTTGGGGATGGAGTTGGCGGATCAGTTCCTGGCTTCCTCTATGCTTTGGGGATGGAGTTGGCGGATCAGTTCCTGGCTTCCTCTATGCTTTGGGGATGGAGTTGGCGGATCAGTTCCTGGCTTCCTCTATGCTTTGGGGATGGAGTTGGCGGATCAGTTCCTGGCTTCCTCTATGCTTTGGGGATGGAGTTGGCGGATCAGTTCCTGGCTTCCTCTATGCTTTGGGGATGGAGTTGGCGGATCAGTTCCTGGCTTCCTCTATGCTTTGGGGATGGAGTTGGCGGATCAGTTCCTGGCTTCCTCTATGCTTTGGGGATGGAGTTGGCGGATCAGTTCCTGGCTTCCTCTATGCTTTGGGGATGGAGTTGGCGGATCAGTTCCTGGCTTCCTCTATGCTTTGGGGATGGAGTTGGCGGATCAGTTCCTGGCTTCCTCTATGCTTTGGGGATGGAGTTGGCGGATCAGTTCCTGGCTTCCTCTATGCTTTGGGGATGGAGTTGGCGGATCAGTTCCTGGCTTCCTCTATGCTTTGGGGATGGAGTTGGCGGATCAGTTCCTGGCTTCCTCTATGCTTTGGGGATGGAGTTGGCGGATCAGTTCCTGGCTTCCTCTATGCTTTGGGGATGGAGTTGGCGGATCAGTTCCTGGCTTCCTCTATGCTTTGGGGATGGAGTTGGCGGATCAGTTCCTGGCTTCCTCTATGCTTTGGGGATGGAGTTGGCGGATCAGTTCCTGGCTTCCTCTATGCTTTGGGGATGGAGTTGGCGGATCAGTTCCTGGCTTCCTCTATGTTATGGGGATGGAGTTGGGTTGGCGGATCAGCTCCTGGCATCCTCTATGCTTTGGGGATGGAGTTGGCGGATCAGTTCCTGGCTTCCTCTATGTTATGGGGATGGAGTTTTTTTAACGTCATGTGACAGTTTTTCTAAAACAATACAGACTTTGATTTTAGGACAGTGGTGGAGTGCCAGGGCCCAGGCGCAGCTGCAACCTCTGTGACAATGGTAGTTCTGCCACTGACTCCAAGGTGTAGAGGGACTACAAATCCCAGCCATACATTATACAGCAATGCAGAATAATATGAAGCTACATACTCTGTGTTGCTCACCAGGGCTGCGTGCGGGTTTCACCAGGACTGTGTGGGCAGGAGCAGGGTTCACCAGGGCTGTGCGTGTGGGAGTTCCTAGGACTGTGCGGGCAGGTGTAGGTTTCACCAGGGATGTGCGGGCAGTTGCAGGTCTCCCTAGAACTGTGCAAGCAGGTGCGGGTCTCACTAGGGCTGTGCAGGCGGGTGTGGGTCTCACTAGGGCTGTGCAGGCGGGTGCGGGTCTCACCAGGGCTGTGCAGGCGGGGGCGGGTCTCACCAGGGCTGCGCAGGCGGGTGCGGGTCTCACTAGGGCTGTGTGGGCGGGTGCAGGTCTCACCAGGGCTGCGCAGGCGGGTGCGGGTCTCACTAGGGCTGTGTGGGCGGGTGCAGGTCTCACCAGGGCTGCGCAGGCGGGTGCGGGTCTCACTAGGGCTGTGTGGGCGGGTGCAGGTCTCACCAGGGCTGCGCAGGCGGGTGCGGGTCTCACTAGGGCTGTGTGGGCGGGTGCAGGTCTCACCAGGGCTGCGCAGGCGGGTGCGGGTCTCACTAGGGCTGTGTGGGCGGGTGCAGGTCTCACCAGGGCTGCGCAGGCGGGTGCGGGTCTCACTAGGGCTGTGTGGGCGGGTGCAGGTCTCACCAGGGCTGCGCAGGCGGGTGCGGGTCTCACTAGGGCTGTGTGGGCGGGTGCAGGTCTCACCAGGGCTGCGCAGGCGGGTGCGGGTCTCACTAGGGCTGTGTGGGCGGGTGCAGGTCTCACCAGGGCTGCGCAGGCGGGTGCGGGTCTCACTAGGGCTGTGTGGGCGGGTGCAGGTCTCACCAGGGCTGCGCAGGCGGGTGCGGGTCTCACTAGGGCTGTGTGGGCGGGTGCAGGTCTCACCAGGGCTGCGCAGGCGGGTGCGGGTCTCACTAGGGCTGTGTGGGCGGGTGCAGGTCTCACCAGGGCTGCGCAGGCGGGTGCGGGTCTCACTAGGGCTGTGTGGGCGGGTGCAGGTCTCACCAGGGCTGCGCAGGCGGGTGCGGGTCTCACTAGGGCTGTGTGGGCGGGTGCAGGTCTCACCAGGGCTGCGCAGGCGGGTGCGGGTCTCACTAGGGCTGTGTGGGCGGGTGCGTGCATCTGGAAGGAGGAGATGTTGAGCTGGCCCGTGCTGGCACTGCAAGGTCCTCAGAAGGTTTCCATGAGGTCCCCAGCAAGTGTGATTGATAGTGCCGGTATCGGTGCTTAGTATCGGGGCATTTTCACTTGTACTCATGAAAATGTCCAGTATCGGCACCAATACCCATACTAGTATCGGTGCATCCCTACGGGCTTCCTATATATAGTATGAGGATGGAGTCAGGTGGGATGATCAGTTCCTGGCATCCTAAAGATTTCGGAGTTGGATTTGGTGGGGTGATCAGTTACAGAGATGTTAGTCTGAGGAGGGCTACAGAAAAGGTCAGTGTAAGAGTTAGTGTTGGGGGTCACATGTAAGTTGGTATGAGGGTTATAGGGATAGTGAGTATGAGGGTTAGTGTTAAGGTCGAGGTTACAGGGAGGGTTAGTGTTAAGGTCGAGGTTACAGTGAGGGTTAGTGTTAAGGTCGAGGTTACACTGAGAGTTAGTGTTAAGGTCGTGGTTACAGTGAGGGTCAGTGTTAAGGTCGTGGTTACAGTGAGGGTCAGTGTTAAGGTCGAGGTTACAGTGAGGGTTAGTGTTAAGGTCGTGGTTACAGTGAGGGTTAGTTTGAGGGAAAGCCTTAGTATAGGACATCGCCCTTTGATCTGGGATTGCCAGATCCAATACTACCAGTGCCAACGTCTCTAAAAGCTTATGCAGTGACTTGAAGATGTCTTTTTAGGTTTGTTTTCAATCTCCAGAGTTGACCAAACATTTTGTGGGTGGACTTGTCCTTTAACAAAGGAAACAATGTAACAAAATGATAATAAAATAAGAATAAAGGTAATCCTTCTGAGCAATTCCTGTCTGCGTTCCCCCGCGCTCTATTTGCGCTGCAGACAGCCCGGAGCAGAGGCCAGTGCGCCGTGGGGTCGGTTTCGGCACAAACAACCCTATGTGTGACCTTTAACCTCCGACTTCCTTGCGGTGCTGACAGCTTCACCCTTCTATCCCCAAAGCTCCCACTTCCAGTCTTGACATTGTAGCGAAACATCTGCCTCACGTCTCATCAAAGCCATTTCTCTTCTTCCCGCAGTAACCTGTCTGCAAATTCCCTGGTGGCCCTGTCATGGAGGACCTTCTACAACCTACCTCTCCAAGAACTGTAGGTCAACCAATCTTTCATCGCAAGTATTAATGTTTGTTTGGCCGTGTCTCGGAGGAATGGGGGGACGAGAGATCTTTCATGGACAGGACCTGTCAAAGCAAATATGTTTTCCTCTCATTGTGTCCCCCACGTTGTCTCCAACATGTTGAAGCGAGGAATAAATCAGAGTCTTCATGTATATTCATTACACTGAAACTCCAGACAAACCTGTCGGGTTCATTATACGAGAATTTCAGTAAACTTTTCTAACTACTCGTGTTTTGTACCTACTGAAACATGTGTTGATTCAGTCAGGGCCAGATTTCCCACAAGGCCAACCAAGGCCCGGCCTTGGGGCAGCAGGGAGTAGAGGGGCGGCAGGGGTTGTGGAATTCCTATCTTCTGCAGCAGTGCAGCTGCAGAGATGTTTCAAAATGAGAGCTGAGTGGGATATTCAGCCTTAGGCCGGGCACACACCTTACAACCATGGTAGGACTTTTGTCTTGCGATGGTTGTAAGGTACTTAAAAAGACGTGAGGGGCGGGCTTCCGATGACCGCAATGCCGAACGGGAAGTGTGCGCTTGCGCACACCGGCCCGTCCGGCTTTTATCGTACGAACATGCCACAGACCCGCAGAACATCGTACGACGCTCGGCGGGTTTTCGAACATGTCCGTAAGTTAAAAGTCGTGCGACCTTACAGTAGTAGAGGTCGCACGGCTTCCACCCACCTTACCATAATCGTACGATGGCGGGATTTCCCGCTATTATCGTACGATTATGGTATGGTGTGTGGGGACCTTAACACAAGCCAAGTGTTGTATAGAATTGTAGCACCGGCATCCCTTTAGATGAAATCTCCTCCCAATTGAAGTAAACCATTTTATTCTGCTCACTATTTGGCTAGATATTTGTCTGTCTACCTTATACAACCCGGGATGGGCAAACTTCATGTGTTTGCCAGACTAGTCCGGGGTCATGGGTCATGGGTGCAAGGGGGCGTCTTTCTGAGACCATTAACTATGATATTATTGGAGGTGTTTGTCTTCAGTTTTAGTTTTGGGGCTGGAAATTTAGGCCTCTGTTCTGACACCCATCCCTGTCTTGGTTCCTAGAGTCCTGATGGAAAACCCATTCCAGTGTTCTTGCGAAGTGCGGTGGATTCAGATCCGCAGAGACGAAGGATGGGCCGACCTTGGAAACCAAACTTTGAGCTGTTGGGATCACGGTCTTGAGATCTTCCTAGAAGAGGCCAACATCTCCCAGTGTGGTACACATCCCGTTTTTCTATGAGCAGGGTAGAACATAGGGCAATAAAAACATGGTGTGGACCAGGGCTGCCATCAGGGGGGTTACGGCCAGTACTGGTGTAAGGGGCCCAGGCAGCTAGGGGGGGGCCCAGACTCCAAGCAAGCATTTTTGTTATACATTATAATGGACAGATGAATTTGTTAGGTTCCGGGCCCCCCTGTGCTATTTGTACCTTCCTGATTACGTTCAGGGGCGGAGCTTTATTTCCTGGGCAGAAGCACAGAAGCAATGTACAAAGACTGATGTGACAGGCCTAAAGCTGTGTAAGGGGCCCCACAATTCCTGATGGCTGCCCTGGTGTGGACTAATACTTTAGGAGGCCTAGGGACAGAATTGGTAAAGCAAATGTTTTTTTTTGGTAAAAGGACTTCACGGTGTCGTATTTCTCATCAGATCGTCCGGACGTTTACATCACGGAGCAAAACCTCACAGTCCTTCACGGGGATAATCTGACCCTTCAGTGTAATGTATATGGTCAACCACAACCAACAGCCAACTGGACTTTGCCCAATATCAATCCTCAGTATAAAATTGAGGTAAGTGTGCAAGATAACCAACCTTGAAGAAAGATATGTTTGCTAGCGATCCATAGATACTCATCAACAGATGGACAGCATGACAACTATGCTTCTTCTCCACGTCTTGTCTCCGCAGCAGTCTGAAGGACCCAACACAGAGATCTTCCTGCACCTCTTTAACATCTCCTCAGGCTTCAATAAGAGGGATGTCACCTGCTGGGCTGAAAACATGGCCGGCCCCACCAAGAAGTTTGTTCACCTGGATGTCCACTGTGAGTAGACGAACCAATATTCTTTTACCTCCTCTGAGGATAATCCTCATTATGACTATCCTGTATATATAACAAATCTGATGTACCAGCTAGGCACGTACCTAGGGTGTCACAGTCCAGGGAGAACCATAGAAAGTGATTGGTGCAGACAGGGCCGGATTTACTCTCTCTGCTGCCCCAAGGCCAGGTTCCTCAATGCGCCCTTCTATCCACCAACCCCCCCCTATGGAGAATAGCAGACCTACAGGCAGCATACATCGTCAAGATCACTTGTACAAAACAAGCGGTGGCTTCCCCGCTCTACATTTAGCAGGGTTAAATGTAGAAAACAACTACCCACCCGGCGCAAAAGCCAGTAGCAGGCTGGCTATTGAAACCCCACCCACTGAGTAGATGACCTGGTGACCACGGTGGGTCTGCGGGCAATTTAAGTACGTCCCCGAGGCGATGTATGGCGGCTGGGGTCATTCCAGTTTAAGAAAGGTGCCGGCAGACACTGGTCCGATTTCGGATAGTTATATTGCCTTCAAGGACCTTGAAACCTAGCAAGTCCTACTGTACGGTTACTTGGTTATTGTTGTTGTTTGTTGTTATTTATAAAGTTTTGTAAAAAAAAAAAAAAAAAGGCTGCTGTGGCCATTTATACTCCTTACCTGGTGTAGTGTGTTAATTGGAAGGAAGGGGATGGGGAATCGAAGGTAAAGGGGGTGGTGGCAGTAAAAAGGGGACCTCTGAGCTACCTTAGTCATGTATCAGTTGACGTTACGGGCGGTGAACTGGACATTCTTTCTGCCATTAGTACAGTTGCAGAGTTTCTTGGGTGACAACAGCGATCCACCCTCTAAAAGCATGTCCAGATTCAGAATTTCTGTCATCTGTGTATCGTGTTTGCTATATTGTCACCCGTGTCCCTCTCTATCTCAGTCCCGGCAGTGGTGGTGGATTTAGGGCAAGCAGTCCTCCAGCACCACGTCTGCATTCCTTACACGATAGACGGGAACCCTGCCCCTGACCTCAGATGGCAATTCAACGGGGAGATTGTGGACATGAGCACCTACCAGTACACTAAGTTTCTGGAGTACAGAGAAAACGGCACGCTTATCCACGGCTGCCTGTACTTTAATAAGCCGACGCACGTCAACAATGGCAACTACACAATCGTGGTGTGGAACGAGCTGGGGAGAGACAGCAAAAGCGTCTACGTCACCTTCATGGACAATCCTTTCGACTTTAATCCAGAGGAGCCAATCCCAGGTGAGAAGATTCCACAATTCTAGAGAACAAAATGACCTTCTGAGCAGAACATCACAAATCCAACCCCTCACAAGTCTATTATTATGTACATTCCTGCAGAAAACAATACACTTCCAAACACTTATCACACAGATACAAGATGTAATATTCCTGCCAATATAGTTGTAAAATGCAAAATCACTACTGTATATGGTCAAAAGTCTGTGGACACCTGACCATCAAACCTACCTATATGACCAAACGTATGTGGACACCCCTCTAAATTATCGAGCTCAGAGGTTTTTCATTGAAGGATACAGTTAATGATAAAACATACAAAGACATTGTAGACAGTTGTGCTCTTCCAGCCTTGTGGTCACAGTTTGGTGAAGACCCTTTTATGTTCCACCATGACTGTCCCCTGTGTACAAAGCCAGCTCCATACAGACACGGTGTGACCAGCTTGGTGGAGGAACTCGAGTGTCCTACACAGAGCCCTGACCTCAACCCTACTGATCACCTTTGGAATAAAAGGCAGTTGTGCTCTTCCAGCCTTGTGGTAACACTGTAGTGAAGGCTGTTTTCTGTTCCACCATGACTGTCCCCTGTGTACAATGGGCTCCTACACTTCAGGCTATGGCCAAAGTACATGGAGATCTCCCAAAATGATGGAGTTCAGGTGTCTCCAGTGAAGGTTCTGTTCATCCTACATCATACAAAGACATTGTAGACAATTGTGCTCTTGTGGTAACAGTTTGGTAAAGACCCTTTTCTGTTCCACCTGACTGTCCCCTGTGTACAAAGCCAGCTTCATAAAGACATGGTGTGACCCGTTTGGTGTGTAGGAACTCGATTGTCCTGCACAGAGCCCTGACCTCAACCCTACTGAATACCTTCGGGATGAATTGGAATGCCAATTGTGAGCAAGGTCTTCTTATCTGAAATCAGTACCTGACCTCACAAATGGGCACAAATTCCCACAGACACCCTCCTAATGATGGAGTTCAGGTGTCTCCAGTGAAGGTTCTCGTAATACTTCATCATACAAAGACATTGTAGACATTTATCCTCTTCCAGCCTTGTGGTAACAGTTTGGTGAAGACCCTTTTCTGTTCCACCATGACTGTCCCCTGTGTGCAAAGCCAGCTCCATATTTGACCAGTTTGGAGGAACTCGAGTGTCCTGCACAGAGCCCTCAACCCTACTGAACACCTTTGGGAAGAATTGGATGGCCAATTGTGAGCCAGGTCTTCTCATCCAACCTCACAAACTGGACAAATTACATAGTTACATAGTATTTGAGGTTGAATAAACACACAGGTCCATCAAATTCCCACAGACACCTTCCAAAATCTTGTGGAAAGCCTTTCCAGAAGAGTGGGGGATGGTACAGCCACAAGGGAAACCCCAAATTAATGTCCATGGTTTTGGAATGGGATGTCCAAAAAAGCTCCATTGTCTAAAAACTTTTGGCCATATACTGTACTTTCTGCAGCCAAAACATTTTTTAGTTCTTGATAGAGTAGGGAAGGGTTATGGGTGTCCTTGACTTCATGTAGAGAAGGGATTTTTATTTCTAGTACACCAGGACAAGGAATGAGGAGAACGGTAGAGGGAGGGGGGATCACAGAGAGGCACAGACAGAAATATGAACCTCACAGAGGTCCTAAACTCTCCCAGCTCTATTAAAAAGTATTTTGTCTCTGTCCCCATTGGAGATATCTTGTCTCAGGGACAACCCTTCTCAATGGAGACACCACAATATAATTCCTGACTGAGGTTCTAATTAGGGATGCACAGATACTTTTCGAGTACTAGTACAGATACTTGGCATTTTCATGAGAATTAACCAGGGTTGCAGCGGTTGCAGCTGGGACCTTTCTCTGGCGCTCCACCACTGTCCTGAAATCATTAGTCTGTATTGTTTTAGGAAAACTGTCACATGACAATAAACAAAAATGTATCAGTACTCGTACTTGTAAGTACTCGGCAAGTACCAGTACTCGTACTCGCAAAACTGGTATCTGTGCATCCCTTTATTTATATTTATAAAAACAAAATCGTACATTAAAACAGAGATGTACAAATCCCGGGAGCTCCGTGTGCTCCTTACACATGACAGCGGCCTCCTAATTTTTTTATTTTTCTCTAGTGTAGTCTTGGAGCTCAAAAGTATCGGTACATGTACTCGTACTTGTACCGAGTACTGTACTTGGTATCTGTGCAACCCTAGTTCTAATGCTTCCCCGCTCTTCTAATGCGTCCTCATATTATTATAAATGGCGCTTTAGAAATGTTGCTTTCGAAATCCAACAATGTAACAAAAGAAGATTTCTTTGTCTTTTTAATAAAAGGACCAACTTTTTGGATGACTCCAGTAACATAATATCTTTTTTTTTCTTTTTTATATTCCAGTGTCGCTGTCCCCCGAGGGTAAGTGTGTCTACTTAATTGTGTTTGTCAACCAGCTCATTAATATTTGAGTGCCATTATGATGTTTTGCGTCTCTGGTGATTGAAAATCGTCTCTGCGACATAAGTGGAGACTTCAAGAGACGTACTAGAAAAGTTTCATGTCTGGGATTTGTCAGGCTGCTGGCAGATACGGACTGCGGATCGTATTCATGATTATCGTAGATTGTAGACAAGTGTCTAAATAAACATGCGGGGTGATTGTCTGACAACTGGTGCGGAGAAAAGGGAAGGTCCTCACAGTGACAAATCACATTGTAAAGATGGCCATTCTCTAATAGTTTGAAAAAAAATATTTTCTGAACGTTCGTTCGATTTTTTTAACAGTTCCTGCTGCTGAGCAGAGGACCCAAAACCCAGTATTGCCACCCAAGGGTCTAACAAGACAGGGGAGCACTCTAAGAAGGAACAATTAGGACCATGCGGTCTAGACACAAGTTGATGCCTTGCGTTGCTGGCTCTCTGTTGAGCAAATATCAGTAAAGATGCCTTATCTGAACCTGTGCGTGAAAAAAACAACCCCGGGGTACCCTGACAATCCAACTACATTGAACTTAGAGAATGTATCAGGAATTGACATGTTTTTTTGTGCAGCAGATAGTAATATTGCCCAAGGTAGACACAACAGGGACCCCATGGTATCTTCCAAAAGGGCTTGGGAGACTAATTTTCAGAAGAGATGACTAGTCAGTGGTTCTGTCTGAGCACCAATCCTCAGACCCATTTGACCAACGCTGAGCCCATGTGGGCAATGCAGAGCGCATGTGACCAATACAGAGCCCATGTGACCAATGCAGAGCCCATGTAACCAATGCAGAGTGCATGTAACCAATGCAGAGCCCATGTGACCAATGCAGAGTGCATGTGACCAATGCAGAGCCCATGTAACCAATGCAGAGTGCATGTGACCAATGCAGAGCTCATGTGACCAATGCAGAGCCCATGTAACCATTGCAGAACCCATGTGACCAATACAGAGCCTATGTGACCAATGCAGAACCCATGTAACCAATACAGAGCCCATGTGACCAATACAGAGCACATGTAACCAATGCAGAGCTCAAGTGACCAATGCAGAGCCCATGTAACCATTGCAGAACCCATGTGACCAATACAGAGCCTATGTGACCAATGCAGAACCCATGTAACCAATACAGAGCCCATGTGACCAATACAGAGCACATGTGACCAATGCAGAGTCCATGTGACCAATACAGAGCCTATGTGACCAATGCAGAGCCCATGTGACCAATGGAGAGCCCATATGACCAATGCAGAGCCCATATGACCAATGCAGAGCCCACGTGACCAATGCAGAGCGCATTTGACCAATGCAGAGCCCATGTGACCAATGCAGAGCCCATGTAACCAATGCAGAGCTCATGTGACCAATGCAGAGCCCATATGACCAATGCAGAGCCCACGTGACCAATACAGAGCGCATGTAACCAATGCAGAACCCATATGACCTATGCCCCTGGAGTAGTACTGTTTTTTCTGCCATCTAATATCTGCTACAAACTGGTCCGCTTTAAAAAGAATATAAACTTCCTGTACATATGGTATATAAAGAGAAGAGCACTTCCTGTTTCCTGAATTCTAACAGCACCGAATGGTTATTTTAGGGTTCCCTCAGGGAACATGGTCTCCTTCTCTGCTCTCATCCTTCACTTACACCCTATGGCTGGTCTTTGTAATATTCCTCCCGCTTGTCTGTTCTCTCCCCCTTCATCCTCATGCTCGGCCCTCACCGGAGTGCACAGACTCTGGAGGTCTTACACACTCAGGAAGTGAAGGCGTCTTCCTCTCTATGAGTGCACATAGACATCATATATTTCCCTGCGGTATGTCTGCAAGGCCTCAGCTGGGGTCTAGTAAATGATAGTGGCTCTGCACAATGTCCTCAGTATCATACAGGAGATAAAAAGAAGACGGCTTCACAAAGATGTCAAAAGAATTATGTAGAACGAGCCTAAGGGAAACTTTACTTCCCATTTGACAACCCAGCAATGCGAAGCTGTTTCAATGGTCATGTGACTACTGCGAGCTGTAGTAATAGGGAGCAGAACGCTATCATGAGATGTTTGCTCTCAGGTTATCTTACATTAGAATAGTTTGCAGGAAGTGTCTATTGAAGGTTCCTTATGAAGCTTTGTCTACCAGCAGTCATCCAGTATGGTCTGATGACCATTAGGGACGAGCCAAACGCCCCCCGTGTTCGGTTCGTATTCGAACATTCGAACGGCCGAAATGTTCGAATACGAACTCAATGCAAGCGTATGGGGGTCGAATGTTCGCCCCCCATACAGCTGCCGGTACATGTAGTAAAACTGTGGCTGCAGCGGCCTGTGTCCCTTCAAATCCTTCAAATTAGCGGAGACAGCGGGGACACAGACCGCTGCAGGCCTTCGCTGCCCCCCTTAACTCCGCTGCTGTCCCGGCCTCCGGTCCCCTGGTCCGTCCGCTGCTGTCCCAGCCTCCGGTCCCCTGGTCCGTCCGCTGCTGTCCCGGCCTCAGGTCCCCTGGTCCGTCC